TTAAGACAGAATAAGAGTCTGAGCAAATAACTGTTCTTAATGGCTGTATTTCCTCGACCCAATTAAGAGCTATCAGAATGGCTATCATTTCTGCTGAATAAACTGATAAATGATTACTTGTCCTTTTTGCAATTTTAATCTTAAAATGAGGAATGCATATAGAAACTGCTGTATTTCCTGAAACAGGATCTTTGGATCCATCTGTAGATATTTTCATTTCCTGACTATAATTTTGATCCATGTATATTTGTGCAATCTCATTCTTGGAAACATAACCCTTTTTATTATTAATTTCTTCCAAAATCTGAAGGTCTACTATAGGTATTGGAAATAACCACGGAGGTATTATGGGAATTTCCACTGTAGGACTTACATCTATTCTTGTCAATCCAATATCCTCAGCCTCTTTTTTTACAGTCCATCCAAAACATGTATTTTTTGAGTTATGTTCCCAACACTCCATCAATATCTTTTTAGCTTGATGGGTTTCAATGTGTCCTTTTAAAGAGGTCCAATATGCCAAAGTCAATTTAAGTCTGCGAATTTCCATTGGTGTCTCTGCCATTTCCACCTGAATTGCTGATACTGGAGAGGTCTTAAAAGCACCACAACATAATCGCAAGGCTTGTGCTTGAATAATGTCTATCTTTTTCAATAACGTTGCTGAAGCAGATCTATACACTATGCACCCATAATCTATTGTTGATCTTATCAACGCACAGTATATACTCCTTAATGAATGCCGGCTTGCACCCCATTCTACCCCTGCTAAACATCTTGAGCTATTTTGTTAATAAAATTAAAAAAATAAAAACATGCAAAATATTACTCTGTTTGATGGCAAAGTTTGAGGGTGTTTCAGTGTAGCCTTTACCTCCTCATCAAACAAGGCTCTGCATTCTGCATCCTGATTTTTTTAGTCTCTTTCATGGTACAGCACCTTTAAAACCCTGCAGCCTTCACTTTTAAAGGTGCCTTTACCAGTCAAAACAACATTTTAATATCAGTATTAAACATTCATATTACTAAAGTGCCTTTTATCCAACATATGTGTTGATGCTAAGTGCTAGCCACTGTACAGGTGCATCTCAATAAATTAGAATGTTGTAGAAAAGTTCATTTATTTCAGTAATTCAACTCAAATTGTGAAACTCGTGTATTAAATAAATTCAATGCACACAGACTGAAGTAGTTTAAGTCTTTGGTTCTTTTAATTGTGATGATTTTGGCTCACATTTAACAAAAACCCATCAATTCACTATCTCAACAAATTAGAATATGGTGAATTCTGTATGTGGGACAACAAATCCTTGCTTAAAATGAATAGTTGACTACAATTAATCCAAAAGATGGATGGATTATGAATGATGTCATTCTAAAAGTGGGCTGAAGACTAAAGCACATCCGTTGCCTAATGTTTTGTAACGATTAAAATGCCACTGTCATGTGTTCATTGTAGTACACAATCTGCAGATGGCGTCGTCCATATGCTATTAAAAATATCTTTCTGGCCAACGCTGCCTTCTAGCGGTGACAATGCATTAGTGCTGATCCACTCTAATCCTCTTATTTGTCTGTTTATGAAACACAAGCCAATCTGCTCTCAAATTAACTGTCTAACATGCTAAGAGGAGGAGATACAGAGTAAATATAATCCTTAGTTACAAGTTAATACATGCAAGCAACACGTACAATATTTCGACTTTTTTACTTAATTCAGCCATGTATGATTTCATATCCCTTCCATTTCTATAGTAAAAAATACTTTAGTTTTAAATTGTTTATTACAAATTATATTATATATACGTAGCAATTTGAGTGATTTTAGACATCCATTATTTTTGCTGTTTATTTACAGAGGCCAACATAAGAAATTAATGAATTAAAAAAAACAAAAGAACAACTTGGTTTTAGTAATCATTTTAGTCAATTAGTATAATTTTAGATTATGTAATATACAGCACCATTGATATTAAATAGTATAATATAAAATAAATATTGATGGTTTTTTTATGAATATGAAAATTGCATTGAATCATGACCAAGACATGGTTTTGTGAGGTTTAGATTCAACCATATAGGTCATTATCAAAATCAGAAATTATATTTTACTTCCTAACAAATAGCCTAAGCATGTTTTCCCTCTTAATTCACATTAAAGTCTGAAATTAACTTTATTGTGTGAAATGTTCAGTCAGATTATATTAACAGCATGAAGGTCAAAACAATATTTTTCACCAAACAGGATGTTATTTGGCTAATTCCAGCTGTCAAATATATGTCAAATAACCCTTTAAGTACATTAAAGTCAACATGCAATGGCATTAGCAATCATTTTACTTTCATATTGTGACATATTTCTGAATAAAACAGGATATTCGGTGCAAAAAAATAACCTGATTTTATCCATTGGAAATGGACTGGACATTTAATCTTCTCTTTATGACAGTTGGGTTGAGAGCAAAGGATGAAAAATAAGAGTCGTGATGTCAGCTGAAAAGAGAAGCAGAACATTTGTTTCACGTTGTAGATATTCATCACACCGTCACTGTGAAACACTAATGACTCGGGGCCCAAAATCGAGTTAACTAAAAAGAAGTTCTGGATAATTTGACCAAAGCTCCTCTCATTGTCACCATGTAATTGATGAAAATAC